CTGGAACCCAGTGGGCTCACTTGTTTGTACCTCTCAGTGACCTGCAGTTTGGCGCAGGTGGTGGCTTCGGTTCAGCGTGCACATGAGGCTCCGGTGGGCTGCCTTGCGCCTCCGCATTTTTGGTGACGTGGCCAGCGCTCCCTCAGCTTGTTCCTGGCTGCTGGTATGTGTCTCGGTCTCATCACAAGAGGACGCACAAGTTTGGCTTTCATGCAGAACATTCCAGATGGACTGTTTAGCTGAGAAATCACTGTGTGACAGTGGTTGCGTCTCACATGGGTGGGGGCAGGTTGGGTTCGTTGTTGAACATGTGATGCTGAGAAGACTGTTGGAAATGTTTTTGTGGTAGAGGGCCAGTGAGGCCTGACCATTGTCTCCCATCAGTGGACCCTGATTCTCGTTTTCTTTTCTTGCTCCCCGTTGGAGGTGGGCTTTCAAGGCTTTTGACAGCATGTGTCCGTCAGGCTGGCCCAGAGGCCCAGACTCTCAGCTAAGCTCTGCAGGTCACTGCACTCGAAGGAGCCCGGCTCCTCCAGGGAGGGGACGGCGATGGTGATCTGCAGTCCAGGTGCCCACTCAGGGCCCTGGTCCCCTGCCCCCAGCAGCGCCATTCGAAACCCTGGAGACCATATGCAATTTTAAATTTTAGTAAGAAACACACAACACAGAGTTGACCACTTTAACCTTTTAAGCACAAGCTCAGTGGCATTAGGCACATTCGCTGGTACGGCCATCACCGTCACCATCTCCAGGACTTTCCATCGTCCCAAACTGGCTGTCCCCATTAAGCACTAATTTGCAGCCCCTACCCCTATCGTCTACTCTCTGTCTCTGTGGATTTGACGGCTGTAGTTGCCTCATGTCAGTGGGGTGGGTCACACAGGATTTGTCTTTTGTCACTCAGCACAGTGTCCTCTAGGTCCATCCGGTTGCAGCAGGTGTCACCTGTCCTCCTTTTAAGGCTGAGTGACATTCGTGTGGATGCACCACGCCTTGTTTACTACGCCTCTGTCCGCAGACACTTGGGTTGCGTCCACTGTTCGGCTGCTGCGAGTGGTGCTGTCTAAGGGGGGTGTCTGTCCCAGTCCCTGTGCTCAGCCATGGGCGGCCTGGGCCGAAGTGCTGAGGCACAGGCACTGCGGGTGCACCTGTCGGCAGTCCCTTTGCACTGGCGCCCACAGCGGTGCCACCACTTTACACTCACCCACAGCGCCCAGGGCTCGGCTGTCCCCATGGCCTCGTGAGCACCTGTCCCTTTTCTTTTGGACAGCAGCCTCCTAATGAGCGAGTGGTTCTGGCTTGACGCGCTGCTGGCTGCTGGTGTCCAGCCCCTTCTCGTGTGCTCTTTGGCCATATGCATGACTCTTGGGAGACCAGCTTTTGTTTTGATTTTTTATGGTCAGTATTTTGTTTTATTTATTGCAAATAAAATTTGTACTTAAAAACAGATTTATGAGGGCCGGCCGAGTGGCGCGTTGGTTAAGAGTTGGCTTGGGACGCCAGCTCTGAGCAGCAGCGCCCCGGTTCGGATCCCACATGAGGGCCAGTGACACTGCGCCCCCTACAGCTAAGATGGTGAACAACAGCTCGGCCTGGAGCTGGGCTGCCAGGAGTCGCTAGCGACGGCGTAGGCTGCAGTGGGGCTGGCCGGCAGCTGGCGTGAGCGGCTGTCCAATGGCTGGCGAGCGACTGCCTCACCCGGGAAGAGTACAATGATAATACCAACATGGGCCAGTGAAGCGACATCCTCCACAACTAGACCGAAGAACAAAAGGACAGCAACTTGTCTGTTCCCCTTCCCTCAGTTCCCCAGCACTGTTCCCCTTCTCCCAATTCCCCAATAAAATCTTTAAAAAAAAAATTTTAAAAACCAAAAAAAAACCCAAAAACAGATTTATGAAACTGCCAAGTGCGTGTAGAGCTTCCCTAAGCCCTGTGCCCATCTTCCCCTGGTGTGGACATCTGACCTTCATGTGACTCATTTGTTACAGCTAACCCATATCCATGCCTCATCGTTAACCAAAACCCATACATTTCCCGATTCTGTTTCTCCTGATGCCCCTCTTCTGCCCGAGGACCCCACCGAACATGCAGGGTCATGTCTCCAGGCCCCTCTGGGCTGGGACCGTTATCCGCCACCCCTTGCATTTCCATTGGAGTTCAGAGTCACCTTCTCACTGCCATTTCTGTAATGAGAGCAGGTGGGGTGCTGGCAGGGCCACGTGGGGTCGTGGGTCACCCCACATGGGAATGTCGCGTCTGGCAGGATTGTCTTCCAGTCCGTGAACACAGGATGTCTTCCCGATTGTTTACGTCTTTAGTTCCTGCCACAGCGTTTTGTAGTTTTCAGAATATGTTTCTGTACGCCTAAGGATTTTATTCTTGGTGATGCTCTGTAAGTGGAATTGTTTTCTTTTTTTTTTTTTTTTTTTTTTAAACCTATAGCATTACAGTTTTTTCTTTCCTTTTTTTTTTTTTTAAAGATTTTTATTGGTGAATTGGGGGGATGGGAACAGTGCTGGGGAATTGGGGGAAGGGGAACAGACAAGTTGCTGTCATTTTGTTCTTCAGTCTAGTTGTGGAGGAGGTTTGCGCTCTTCCCGGGTGAGGCAGATCAGTCGCCGGCTTCTGGACGGCCGCTCACTGCGGCTGCTGGCCACTCACGCTGGCTGCTGGCCGCTCACGCTGGCTGCTGGCTACACACGGTAGCCCATGGCAACCCACTGCCACAGGGACTGCAGCCCACGCCGTCGCCGGCGACTCACAGCAGCCCAGCTCCAGGTTGAGCCGTTGTTCAGCATCTTAGCTGTAGAGGGCAGTGTCACTGGCCCTCATATGTGGGATCCGAACCGGGGCCCTCTGGCATCCCAAGCGAGTTCTTAACCATCGCGCCACTCGGCCGGCCCTGGAATTGTTTTCTTAATTCCCTTTTTGGTTTGCTCATTACTAGTGTATAGAAGTACAGCTTATTTTTGAGTATTAATCTTGTGTCTTGTGATCTTACTGAACTTGTTTATTCAAATAGTTCTTGCTGCTGTTTGGTGGATTTCTGAGTGTCCTCGATCCTGGGTCACGTCATCTGTACACATGTAGGGTTCTACCTCCTCTCCGAGGTGCTGCCTTTCCTTCTTTTTCTTGCCTTGTCCCGGCTGGAACTGGCGCCATCAGCCAGAACCGGCGAGCGTGGGCAGGGGAAGAGCTTCCAGTCTGTCACCGCTTAGTACGTTGTTAGCTGTGGGTTTTGTAGGTGCTCCTTGTCTGATGGAGGAAGTTCCCCTCTGTTCCTAATTTGTGGAGTGTTTTTATCCTGAAAGGATATTGGATTTCATCAAATGCTTTCTTTGCATCAAATGAGGTGATCGTCTGGGTTTTCCCTTTATTAATATTTGGAACCCGTTCGGCGTCACTGGCATAAATCCTACTCGGCCGTGGTCACCATGCCGCTTTCTGTGCTGCCGGACGGTTTCCTGGTATTCTGCTGATGCTCTTTGCGTGCATGCCCATTAGAGACGCTGTCTGCCGTTTCTCTGTAATGACTTTGGATTTGGTATCAGGGCTAATGGGGATTTGTCTGGTGTTTTTCTCAGGAGCTGACTGGGATTAGGGTCATGTGGTCAACGCAACCCATCAGTGTCGAAGCCACTTGACCCCTGGCTGAGGCGTCAGGTCCCTCCCCTGGGTGCTCTCGGGAGGCAGGTCGCTTAGCACGGCTGCCCTCCTGGACCGGGGTCATCGGCATGTGGTTTGGGGTTCCGAATGATCATTACCGAGTTCAGGTCTTGGTTCACAGCATGACTGATGCATGTCCGTGCTGTACTTTGGGTTATAATCCAACAGCTCACCGATTTTGTTGCTCACGTCGATTTGGCTTCTGTGTGCCTCACATACTCCCATCCGTGTGGGTTTTTGGTATTTTGTTTTGTCTTGCATTTTGAGCACTCTTTTTTCTGGTATTAGAAGCTTTCCAGGCCTATCCTGGGCATTTCCTGCCAGCCCTGTGATCAGCCCTTTCTCCCAGGAACCCTGGTCCTTTATTGGACATGGTCGTAGGGACTGAGACCTGGGCACTGCCCTGGGGTGTCGGAGCTTTGAGGCCCCTTAGCCGCCCCCTGGGGACATGTGTGCCCCAACCATGGTGTCTGCACGCATCTAAGCAGTTGTTCGCGCTCACGCACTCCTTCCCCAGGGGAGCTGTGTCAGCAAGGGCGTCCGGGGGGCTGGGGCCTCACTGGCCGTTGCTGGATGAGGGTTAGGTCTTGACCTCTGGGGCTGGGGCTGGGGCTGGAGCTGTCTTCCTTGGGTCACGCTGGCCCTCAGGTGCCTAGCAGAGACTGCTTCTGTTTGTCCAATTTTTTGCTTCTAAAATTTTGAAGTGTCCGAGAATCTGATCCCCTGGTCTGCTGACTCAGGAATGCAGCCCTTCTAACCCTCAGACCCTGTGGTCACCAAAACACACGTGGGTGACTTCATTTATTAATCCTGTCATAGTCTGAGGGTCACTTCCAAAGACCCCAAGCCAGGAATGGGGACTTCAGTGATGTCATCTGCCCATCCAGCCTCGAGCCTCCAACCCCCTTTGTCCCTTGGCTGCTACTTGGGGTGGGGATGTGGGGACAGGGTCCTGATGGGCACACAGGGCCCCCTCCTGGTGGACAGTCAGCCCCAGCTGGTGTCCGGAGGGGCCCAGAGGGAGGCGTGGGGCTGTTGCCTGTTGGGAGACGCCCTCCGTCAGTGCCATCCCAGGAGGGTTTGGCTAGTGCTGGTATCTGCGTGTCTGGGAAAGGCTGTCTGACGTCATGTGAAGCGTGTCCCACAGACGTGGGGAGGGGGCAGAGACCATGGCCCTGTGGGTGTGTGGAGCGTCATGTGGGACTTGGGACCCCCCAGTCTGCTGGGCCCTGCGTGGAGGAACTGCGTGTTGCGCACACAGTCGGTGGAAGTGTCTGCGCAGCACAACCCCATGTGGGCCGCTGGCAGTGACCGGCTGGGTTCCCTTGCAGACCGTCCAGGATGGCCGCCAGTTTCTGAAGTATGTTGACCCCAGGCTAGGGGTCCCACTGCCGGAGAGGGACTACGGGGGGAACTGCCTCATCTACGATGCAGACAACAAGACTGATCCCTTCCACAACGTCTGGGTGAGTATGGGCTCGGGAGCCCCAGCCCAGAAGGGGGTGGCCGGCCAGCGTCACCTCTGGGAAGCAGCTGAGGAGTGGGAGGATTGGAGGTGGGTGCTGCCCTGCTGTGGGTGCTCTGGACCCTGAGCCACGGCAGGCTGCATGGTGGTGGCGGGTCCCCGCTGGCCCCTGCTCTCCTTGGCAGTCAGGGTGTGTCATCCACACGCGGTCTGACAGCATATGTGCGAGACCCCAGCCTTGTCCCTCAGAGGGGCTGTGGGGCGCCCCTGGGGCCCTGGAGTTGGGGGTGAGGGGGCCCCAAGGGCCCTGAGGGACATCACACGCCCTGGTCCTGGGCAGGGCTGTCACAGGGGTGGCGCGTGTATGAGGCCTGCATCCTGTCACCCACAGGACAAGCTGGACGGCTTTGTGCCTGCACACTTTCTTGGCTGGTACCTGAAGGTAAGGTGACCTGATTGTTGGACGGGATGCCCTGGTTTTCAGGCCCGCCAGGGGGTCCGGGGCTATTTCCCGGCCACAGGTTGGCAGTCTGAGTGTGGCGGACAAGGGTCTGGGGGCCAGGGCAAAACGAGCAAGCTGTCCGGAGGGTTCGTAAAGCCACCGGGACTCTGAGGATGCCCCTGACCTGTGCTTCCCCTCGGCATGGTGGTGGCCCCTGAGGGTCCCCCGAGGCCTCCCCCACCGTGCTGTCCTGCTCCTGAGTGAGCAAGCGTGCAGCCCCCACCTGGCATGCATGAGGGGACACACCTGAAAGTCTTAAATCGAGGCTGCCGGGCAGCTGCCCACCCACCGAGCGTCACTTCCGGGGGTGGTGGGAGGTGGGCTGGAGGGGCTGACCTGCAGCAGGCGTCCCCGTCGGTCCCCCGGCCCGCAGACCCTGATGATCCGCGACTGGTGGACATGCACGATCGTGAGCGTTATGTTCGAGTTCCTGGAGTACAGCCTGGAGCACCAGCTGCCCAACTTCAGCGAGTGCTGGTGGGACCACGTAGGTGCTGGTGGGACCACGTAGGTGCTGGCCACGCCCACCGGGGCGGGAGTCACGCCCACCGGGTGGGAGTGGCCTCACCTGGGCCCCGGGCGCAGGCCCACACTGCCCTTGGGGGGAAGGACATGGGCGCAGGGTCCCCTCCGATGAGGTAGGACAGAGCTGGGGGTCCACGGCGTCCGCCTCTCGCCCCTAGTGGATCATGGACGTGCTCGTCTGCAACGGGCTGGGCATCTACTGCGGCATGAAGACCCTCAAGTGGCTGTCCCTCAAGACGTACAAGTGGCAGGGCCTCTGGAACATTCCGACCTACAAGTACGTCTCCCGCAGCGCCCTGCTCTGGGGGGCCCCAGCGTCTGTGCGGGGCCTGGAGGCGGCCCCCGATGTCCAGGCCAGGCTCCACCGGACCCCTCTTTGGAGAGGGGGCTGATGCACGAGGATTCTGCCTCCTGTGTGCGCCACCTGGGGTCTGACCCTGGGCTGCCCGTGGGAACCCTGCCGAGGCCCCTCCTCGGAAGGCCGCCCTGCTCACGACGTGGGTGCGGGCGCTCTGTCATTACTTGGGTTTGAAAGAAAGAAACAGCCCAGGAAAAGACGTGGGGGTGACGGGGGCGCGGGACGCTCGGGGCGCAGCGCCCTGGCTGAGCGCCCGTCTGGCTCCCAGGGGCAAGATGAAGAGGATTGCCTTCCAGTTCACGCCCTACAGCTGGGTGCGCTTCGAGTGGAAGCCGGCCTCCAGCCTGCGCCGCTGGCTGGCCGTGTGCGGCATCATCCTGGTGGTAAGGCCGGCTGCCTGGCGCGCGCGGGGCCCGTGGGCAGCAGGGCCCACGCCCACTGGTCCGTGTCCCCCAGTTTCTGTTGGCAGAGCTGAACACGTTCTACCTGAAGTTCGTGCTGTGGCTGCCCCCCGAGCACTACCTGGTCCTCCTGCGGCTGGTCTTCTACGTGAACGTGGGCGGCGTGGCCATGCGGGAGATCTACGACTTCATGGACGACCCGTGAGCCCGCGGGGCGGGCCGGGGCGAGGGCCAGGGGGCCGAGGGCGGGGCCGTGCCCGCTCAGCCCTGCCCTCCCTCCTCCTGCAGGAAGCCGCATAAGAAACTGGGCCAGCAGGCCTGGCTGGTGGCCGCCATCACAGCCACGGAGCTGCTGATCGTGGTCAAGTACGACCCACACACGCTCACACTGTCCCTGCCCTTCTACATCGCCCAGTGCTGGACGCTCGGCTCCGTGCTGGTGCTCACCTGGACCGTCTGGCGCTTCTTCCTGCGGTGAGCTCCAGGTCCCCAGAGGAGCGGCCGCGATGGCCCCCGCGGGCCGCACCGTGTCCCGGGGTGGGTCTGAGTGGCACCTGGGTCCTGCGTGGTCCTGTTCTGGCCGTGCAGGCCGGCTGGAGGTGACACGCCCTCTTGCCCCCAGGGACATCACCCTGCGGTACAAGGAGACCCGACGGCAGAAGCAGCAGAGCGGTGGTGACAAGGGCAGCGCCAAGGGCAATGCGGATGGGACCCCGCCCGGGCCGGATGTGCCCCCCGGGCCTGTGGAGGCTGAGAGGGAGGGGGCACCGGCTCTGGACTGACATTGCCCCTCGCCGCCCAGGACCCAGGCCTGCTGTCCCTTCGTCCTGTGATTCCCGTCAGGAGCCTTAGGCCTTGCTCTCGTGGTTTTTCCTCCGTGTGCACAGCCGGGCTCTGAGGAGGGCATGAAGGAGGCCCTGACCTGGGCTGGTGTGCGTGTGTGGCGTGTGTGCGCGTGTGCACGTGTGCGTGTGCGTGGCATGTGTGCAGGTGTGCGTCGTGTGGCATGTGTGTGCATACACGTCTGTGCTCCGTGCTCCTGGCTCCTGAGACTTCTCAGGCTGGCAGGTGTGGCCGGGGTTTACCCTGGACCCCCTAGGTCCCCTTCCTGTGTGGTCAGCCCACTGGCCTCTGGGCCCACACCAAGCCCTGGTGCCCATACGGCCTGGCCCTTTCTCCCCACTGGCCCCCCTTGGCCCCATGGCCACACGTGTTAGTGACTGACCCATGAATACCCGAGATGGCGGAGACAGTGTGGACCTGAGCTGCAGCCCTGAGCCGTTTCCTCGGGAGCCTTCCTCTAACCCAGCTAACCTGGAGGGCGTGTGGACAGGGCGGGGGGCACCGGGTCAGGAACTCCCAAGGCCCGGTGCCCATGGTTGGGAGGAGGGGTCATGGGGTCTCTGGCCCGAGTTGGTCATCTCCATGAGCAAACAGAACAAATAAATGGACAATGGTCTGCGGTTTGCATCCTTGCGGCCCCAGCCTCCACCCTGCCCCATGCCCGCCTTTCCGGGGACGTCGCCCAGTGAGGCAGACGAGTCCAGCCAGCAGGGCAGCTTGGCCTGACAGCCAGCCAGCGGGGCTCGCGGGTCATTGGCGCTTGCCATCTCTGACACTAGTGCACTCTGCAGGGGTGCATGGGAGGAGGGCGCCCAGGGGGCTGCTTCTGGTTGGGGTGTGGGTGGTGATGGACCCTGGCATGGGAGGTAGGTGCAACTACCCTGAAAAAGTCAACTGCAAGTGAAAAGCGCCCTGAATTCTCAAATCCCCGCCCCAGCTGAGGACGCTCCCTGCCCCCACTCACCCAGATGAGGGGAAGCCTGGCTGGTCCTGGGGAAGGGCCCGGCTCTGTCTCTTGGGAGGACCCTGCCCTCAAACCTAGAGGGTGTGAGCATGGGCTGTGGAGCCCTGTGCACCCCGCGCTGCCCGAACCCTGAGGAGGGCGGCTGCAGAGAACGACCTCTGCCCCGTGTTGTGGGGGCAGTGTGTCTCCCTTGAGCTCTGGGACCCTGCAGGCTGCCCTTAGGTTGGGGGTGTCGGGTTGGCTGAGCATTTCCAGTGGAGTGACGGAGCCTCAGTGTGCCCCCCAAGGCTCACTCTGTTCTCGTGGCTGAGTTAGCTGTGGTCTCTGAGGGCTGCTGCCCATCAGCAACGCAGGGACACTCCAAGTGTCTGGTGCCCTCAGCTCCACTGGTGGTGTGTCCCCCCATGGATGAGCGAGTGTCACGGGCAGGTGACGATGGTGCCTCGCTCACAGTCACTCCTCTGGGTCCCCGCCTGCCTGCCCCCGTCCCATGGGTGGTGATCCACAGCCGGCGTGCTGCTCAGCACCCCTTGTCCCAGGTTTGGCCCCTGGGGCTCAGCACCCAATGGTTTCTGAAACACGCTGTTCCAGGCTCACCTTGTGCATTTCCTGACTGGGCTCACCGTTCCTTCAAGGACCCCTGGTTCCTTGCGGTGAGGGGGTCACAGAAGCCAAAATTGGGGCACTTTGAAGGGCTGTACAGCAGTGAGCTGGAAGTTACTCTGAAAGCTGCTTGTGCCCCAGAGGTCCCTGGACTGTGCCAGTCAGGGCGGGTCACCCATGTTGGCAAGACGAGGCCAGTCAGACCCCAGGGTGGACCCTGCCCTCCCTCCAGAGGGCTGTGGGCTCTGCCAGGAGAGTGTCAGGGTCCAGCCATTTGGAAGCCGCAAGCGCAGCCATGCCCAGGGAGTAGCTCACAGCAGGGGCTCCTGGTCCCTGGGCTGTGGGCCAGCTGCTGACCAATGACAGACTGGGCTGTGGTGAGCCAGGCTCCTGAGGGCTGAGTACATCGGTGTCCTGTGGGCGGGACAAGGGACAGAGCCCGTCCTCTCAGACCTTGAAGAAGTGAATGCTGTGTGGCCGCCAGGACCAGGCCTGCGTCCTACCAGCCAGCTGGGGGCTTGACCTGGACGGCAACTGTTTTAAGCTGCTAAGTCCACGGTGGTCTGTTGGGCAGCAAGACTGTTTATATAAAGACCTCACACCTCCAATAGGGGAGAGTCTCGGGGATCCCACAAGGAAGGACAAGGACCCTCCTGCCCAAAAAGTGCTTTAATAATTAAAATGTGTCCAAAATTTTCTCACAGAAGTCAGCTAATCAGAGCAATTCTCTTCAGTCAAAGCTAAGACCGTGGAGCGCGCGCCCCGGGGGGCTGGCTGACCCCCCATGGGGTGAGGACAGGGCCAAGCAGGTTTCGGGAGCCAGGGGGCGGCCTCAGTAGACGATCTTCAGGCCAGGTTTGCTCTCCTCCAGGGCCCGCAGGCGGTCATCCGTGTGCTCCGACACGTAGATGTCGAACAGGCTGTGCAGGAGACACAGAGGGAGTGGGCTGGGGCCACGGGCTGGGCCCCCTACCCCCACCGTTCCCCCAGGCCACACCACCCGTTCGTCACTTACACCAGCTTTTCCAGGGTGCAGCTGGGGTGCTGGAGGCTCTCGGCCAGCTGCAGGACGCCTGGGTCGCTCATACAGTTGTTGCTGAGGTCCAGCTGGCGCAGGCTGTGGTTGGTCAGCAGGAGAGCGGCAAGACTGCTGCAGCCGCTGTTGGTCATCTCGCAGTCCCCCAGCCTGGACGGAGAGCAGTGCAGAGGTCGGGACAAAGGGCATGCCCCCAGGCTGCCACAGACAGTGCCAAGTGTCCTGGGCCACACTGCCATGCCACAGAGCGCGGAGACGCCTCTGCATGTGGCACGTCAAGCCCCGGGATCGGGGCTGTCCCCCAGACCTCAGCCTAAGCATGTGGCTTTCCCGGTGGCCCCAGATGAACCAGGAAAGCAGGGGGCACACACAGCTCCTTGCAGGAGGTGCAGTGGTGACATCCTGGACGTAGGGCCCAGCCTCCTCTGGCAGAAGGTGGGCACCCGGGGGTCTCTTGGAAAGGACGGTGTTGGGGGCCAGGCGAGAACACCAGGAGGAAGGCAGAAGAGGGCCTCCCCCACTCCTTGCTTCCTCACCACCTGGAGCCAAGCGGGTGGGGTGGGCGGAGGCGGCAGCCAGGGCCGAGGGCAGAGCTGAGGGCCGGAGGGTGACGGGAGTGCACGGAGGCTCCAGGCTCTAGGGAGAGGCCGTGAGGACCATCGGGCTCAGCCTGCAGCTCAGGGCTGCCCATTCCCACACTCCAACCTGTGCTCCATCCAGGATGACCAGGTGTCACTGGAAAGCCACCAGTAAGAAGGCACAGAACAGACAAAACTTGTGACAGGCAGCAGAAATGACAGCCATGGAGTGAACAGGGTCAGAGGCCCGGTCTGTGAGACCAAACCGTGGATTCCTGAGTGCTCCAAGGGGAAGCCACTTGAGGCATGACACTTCCCAACACAACCAAGCGTCTGGTCAGATAATAAGCCAGGACCCACATCTGCAAAGAATACTGAAGCCCAGAACACGATGGCGCCCCAGAGAGAGAGCAGCTGATGCAAAGGGCCCAGTGGGTGAGCCTCAGCACAGCGGGGTCTGCGTTCTTCCTCGGGGCCCATTATGGGAGCGCCGGAGATGGCAGTTAACGAAAGCAGAGGGACGGGCGAGGACGTGCAGGAGAAAGGACCAGGACCCGTGACGGAGCCAGCACACGGACGCATGCTCACCAGAGCTCCTGCAGTGCGGCACCGGGCTGGCTCAGGCCGTGGCACAGCTCCTGCACGCCCGCGTCCCCCAGACTGTTGCTGCCCAGCTGCAGTTCCAGGAGACTCGTGTTCTGGGCCAGCACGGTGCTGAAGTGCTGGCAGCAGGCGGCCGTGAAGCTGCAGGACTTCACCCTGCGGACGCAGACACAGATGAGGACTGCGGCCCCCGCCGCCGGGTCCCCCATGGCCCCGCCCTCCCGGACACCAGCGCCTTCCCACTTTCCAGGGCACCCCACTTCGACAGCCCCTCCTCACGCCTGCCTTGCCCCCAAGTGCTGCAGCTGACCTGGATCCTCGGCCCCCAGCAGTGTCCCCACTGGGCCCCGGTCTCCCTCCTCACATGGGTCCCCTTGGGCGCTTCTGTTTCCAGCTACTGCCGGGCTGCACTCACCACAGGGACTGCAGCCGGCAGCTGGGCTCCAGCAGGGTGTCACACAGCACCTGGGCGCCCTCGTCCCCCATCTCGTTCCCGGCCACACTGAGCTCCTTCAGGCTTTCCTTGGCCCTGAGGACGCGGCAGAGGTCTCTGCAGCCACTGGCCGTGATGTCACACTCCCAGAGCCTGTGGGTGCGGGGGACACGTCACAGCAGGGCCACCAGGCGTTATGCTGGCCCAATGCCAACACAGCGACAGCCGTGGACATTGCCCATGCCACCCGGCCACTCTCAGGCCCCTTGCCTGGCCACGGCCCTGGGAGGGACAGGGAGGGCGGGCCAGTGAAATGGGGGGTGCGGGGCTACTCCGGACGCCTGCGGCCACCTGCCCAGAGGCCCACTCACCACAGGGTCTTGAGCTGGGAGCTGGGGCTCAGCAGCCCAGGGCACAGCTCCGCGATGCCCGTGTCGCCCAGCTTGTTGTTGCCCAGATACAGCTCGCAGAGCGAGGCCTTGGAGGCCACGATGCCGCACAGGTCCTGGCCGTTGGCCGATGTGAGGCCACAGCTCTCCAGCCTGGGGGACAGGGGGCGCTGTGGGACAGGGAGCCCATGCCACCACGCCCCCCACCCAGCCCCGCCCGGCCCTGCACTTACTTGAGCGACTCCAGCGGGCAGGTGGAGTCGGCCAGGCCCTGGCACAGGGCCCGCACGCCGGCCTCGCCCAGCTCATTGCTGTTCACCATCAGTTCCTTCAAGTCCCGCTTGGTCCTGAGCACCTCGGCCAGGGCCTCGCAGCTGGCGGCCGTCAGGTTGCAGTACTCCACCCTGCGGATGGGTGGGCAGTCAGCCTCCCCCAGATGCGTCCTGGCCAAGCGCACACCTATCTGATCTCCACTGGCCCCTGGCAGCCCCTGGAGACTGGAGGGGCTGCCGGGCAGTGACAGCACGGCAGTGTCCAAGGGGCTGTCTTTGGACAGCACGCGCCTACACCCTCCTGGAAACCACCCCTGACATCCAACTCCCCCAAAACCCCGGATTCACTGGACCCAGGACCCAGACGCTGGGCCTTCTGGCCAGGCCGTCTCACACTCAAGTGAGGGGTCACAGGCCAGCTGCCAGCTCCTTTCAGGGGGTCACAGCCCCATTGTCACCAAGGAGGAACATATGCAGGTCACGGAGAGCCCCCTCCTCCAAGCTTCCTGCAGACAATGTGCTGGGAGGGGGCTTGCCCAGGGCAGGCCCTCTACCAAATCCCGAGGGGCAGGTGGGCGCAGGGCTGTGGCTGTAGGGGGAACTGGGAGGGAGAGGAGCCCCAGGGCCCCCGCGGGGCACACTCACTGCAGCTTCTCGATGTGGCACTGGGGGTCCAGGAGCCCTTTGCAGAGGAGCTGCAGGCCCGCGTCCCCCAGCGGGTTGTAACTGAGGTACAGCTCGCGCAGGGTGGGCAGAGCGCGCAGCACGTCAGGCAGGGTCCCGCAGGCAGCCTCCGTCAGGCAGCAGTTCTGGAGGCTGTTGGAGCAGCACACGGCCGTCACGGGCTGCCACGTCCCATGCTGCAGGCACGCCAAGTCCACATCGCG